TTCTAAATGTAGACTGGTATTTCCCTTTCTCTTCCACAATCCAACCTTCTTTCTCTGACACCTCTACAATTATATTCTATTTTGATGCATTATTTTGACGAATGTTTTAAATCACTCGTTAACAGTACCTCTGTTTACAATCTCTTTCTGTATGAAATCCGAAGAATTTACATTTTCATCCACACATACAGATGGTACCCCCTGGAAAATGGGTACCTGGCAGGAATTAATTACTTGAAATGCTAGAGCACTGTAATGGCAGCTAGGCTATAGTAAAGCCGGGGTAATAATTAATTGTACGCCCTGGAATAGAATTACCTAGATAAACGGCGCTATATAAATGCCAATCATTATTATTATTATTATTATTATTATTACACTTGGAGCAAGCACCATCAAGGCCCTCAAATGAGATTATTGAAAACAAATATCTTTTAATGACTCATCACACCCTACCTTTAAATCACTCAACATCCCCTCTCCTCTCTTGGTCTATACTGTTATTATGACAAGGTACATTTCCTCCACATTAAATGTAAACATACCACTCCTTCATCACCAGGTAATAAACAAACGTCCCACACAATGACATCAGTTCCAAGGGATGCTCATGGCATGCTTCCTCATTATCCCAAGCAAGCACGAGCTTGAGACACATGAGGCCTGTTGTCATCAGGTCGATTTGGCCAAATAGCCCGCTATTTGTGATTCGGGAAATTAGCCCGATCACGAAATAGCGGGCTATTTGGCTGGGGAAGACGCAGGGGAATAGCGGGCTATTTGCTCAGGAAATCTTCCCATGATATCTTGGGCTAGTTTGCAAAATACCCTGTTATTTGTTCGGGTCTAGCGTTGGGTCAAGAGATTTTTTCGAGCTGATGAGGTTGGCATTTGTAACTTCAGGCTAATTTCCCAAATCAGAAATGACGGGCTACTTGGCCCTAACCCTAGATACTTTTGGTTATTTGATGAAATAAAGCCTGGAGCAATTGCTGAAAGGAAAAAGAAAAAGATCCATGTGTTGGCCTGAACAATGCTTTCTAAAAAATGTAATGGAATATCTCACTAATTGTCATCACTGTGAATTAGCGATCGGCTGTAGCGTAGGCAATTATGAAATCTCAGGCTAGTGAAAACACACATTTAAGATACCATCCGACACATCACATAAATAATGAATCTATAATAAATCATTACAACTTTCAATTTCCCCACATCCTTAAGAGTCCAAAAAAATCCCTATACCAATTTAATGTTGTAATAAACTAACAAAAACACTTCCCTTTCCTTTCATCAAACAATCAGTCATATTTCATCCTCTGATGGGCGATGAGTAGAACCCTTTAAATCATGGGAACGCTTGCGGCAGGGTCGACCATGGACTGGTGAGTACTCCGTAAGCCTCATTAACACCTCAATGGCCCGGGCAATGGGGAAAGGTCATTTACCAGGGGTCGTCCTTACAAATTTAATTGGACTATGCGCCTTTTCATTTAAGTAGTTCGCACTGACTGGGGTGAGAGTGGCTCTCTCATGCATTATATGATGCTTGTTGCTTACTGCTCAGCCTAGGGGACTGACTGGGTTGCAGCTAAGCTTTTCACACTGGAAGCGTTGGTTTAGATGATGACATTTATCATGGGTATTAAAATGTGCATCAAAACCAAGGTGTGCACAGAAAAAGAATGTGACTGTCAGGAGATGCTATCCTGGCCAACATTTGTACATCTCTAGAAACACACATTTTAATGACTTGACCTTTCTTTGTTAACACCTACAAAAGGCTACAACACCATAACACATACATATTTCAGTTTGTAGTTTGTACACTGTTTAAATCATTCACAGTAATTAGGTTTTTACTGCTACAGATATCCTTTCCTTCCAAAAACTACAGAATTTGAACGGAAATCATTTTCGCACCCTTCTGCTGGGGACATTAAAAAAGATAACTTTTCTGTGTCAATTGAGTCCCTGTTAAGTTCGCCAAAAAAGAAAAAATTCAATGAATGATAACATATTTTGATAACACGAGAACATTAAAAATCCAAAGATTATCAATGATTATTACTGATTTCCTTTTCATCAACACATACCTCAATAAAAATGTACAATCCCTGAAAGCAAAGCCGAGATGTCAATCCATGAATTAGATTCAACTTTAAAGATAATCATGATACCCTCCCTTAAATGGCAAAGCAGTTGTGACCACAGATTAACAGATTTAGCAAACAACAATACACCACATATAATGGCTATGTTCACACAGAGACTTTGGGGATCATTCTCATCAAGCCAATTTTGGATTTCATGATTCCCCACTTTCTTTTATATTATGTTGATAATGAAAAAACATGTAAATGTTTTTGATGTTTTTAAAAGAGAGTGAAATAAATGAAACGAAATGAAATAGTTTCAAACAATAGGTTTGCAAAAACCTTGAAGTTATACTAAACAATGTTCCACCATTAAAGACGAGGGAGTCACATCGGACTGAAGCAAGGGTTCAAAATTATAAACTAGTACAAGCCAAGCATTCATTTTTTACTACAACTTGAAGTCAATTGCATCTGCACAGCACATAACTTTGAGTAAGGACCCCCCCCCCCCCTCCCATCCCCTCTGCTCATAGTTATCCTGCTAGCCTTAATATCCACTGTGGTTTGTAACTTCAAATATACTTAAAGTTTCTAAGTGCATCCACATGGTCCCTAACTACAAGATAACTTTGAAGTTTAAAATCTTGACCTAAACTTTAAGTTAAGGGACTTTCATGTAAACCTTTCTAATGGCACTAATCGTACTACATTCAGGAAACATTTTACCACAGTATCTTCACTACAGTAGAAAATAACAAATTGTTGGCAAATGACAGTGCTTTGAATAGACCTTCAGGCAAGTATAATCTTTTAAGATGCTTTCTCTAAACATTTCTCTTTACATAAATCATTCTCAAATGTACTTAAAAGTACTTTATCATTATGGCAAAAAAGAAACCACACCCCGAAGAATATATGTAGGTATTCTGAAGTACTTTATGGCATTTTAAGTTTCATTAAGTTGCCCTACCCCCCCCCCCCTTTCTTTCAGAAAGAAAATTATAATGAAATCAAAGTATTTAACTATAATTCAATTATTTGTAGGGGAAACTGTCACTTATCACAGGGGGTTGGGGTGGGAGGGAAGTGTTCGCAGTGCCAAGTAATTAACCTGCCTCGGAGTTCAGATTTCATCTTATAATTCAATTAGGAAGTTATTAATCTCATATTATGGCAAGGGAACCTGCAGTAGCAATAGATTTACCTTTCACAGCCCCTTGAAAAGCGTTCTGAATTGGAATAAAACTTTGCCATACCTCATTACTTCTCTTAAATATCTGTCTGTATGTATATCTCCCTTTGTCTTGCACTCCTCTCATTATTCTCTAAAAACTTTCATCTTGCAACCCCTCCAAACAAAATGTTTCTCTCTTTCTCTTTCTCTTTCTCTCTCTCCTTCCTTCCATCTCTCTCCTCTTCATATAATACCATTCTCTCACATTCACTCTAGATATTTAATAATAGACTCTTACAATCTCTTTCTCTTTCTCATGTAAATATTTTCCATAAAATTTGTTGTTTCAACTACACATACATGTATAAAGCTACAAAAAGCTCTCATTGAACCTCCAAAAATACATTGTAACTATCTTCAATCTGTGATACGGTGAAACAATCTCAGAACTAAGGAAAAAATCCTTAAAAACTACACAATCACAAAAAATAGATATTTCTCCACCATGAACATCTGCTGAACTCTCCTATAAGTACTTCCAGATAAAACACTGCTCATTTTTCCGAGCCGGAATTTTATCATGTAGTCCATAAAATAAAAGGTTAATGAGGGCATCATAATCAAACAGGATTTGCTTTTACAGCCGGAGGTATTACTTCCTGTACAGAATGCAATTCACATCCTCCTCTAAAAAAAGCATATCGCTATATCTGAACCACCCAATCTACAGCATTGTCTTATGGTATCTAGACCTTGAGACCAGGACAGTTTGAATCACTAGGTCCGTCTTCATCAGCTCGAGATTGCCAAATATCCCACTATTTGAACTATCCCAATCACAAATTATCTAGTTAATTTCCGTCTTCATCAGCCCGAAGTTGCAATTAGCAGGATATTTGGTCGAGCTAATCATCCCAAGATATCTTGGGCTAGTTTTCAAATTATCCCCCTTTTTGTCTGGTGCGTCTTCACCAGCCCGAAGACTTGACATAAAGACACGATTTGTAACTTTGGGCTTATTTCCCAAATCAGAAATAGCGGGCTACTTGGCAATCTCAAGCTGACGAAGACATACCTAATCACTCTCACCCAGCAGGAAAGTTTGCAACATTAGATGATGAAAATGACCTGAGTGGAATTCCTAGCAGTCAAATGAAATTCCATGTAAGAAGTCAAAACTATTTTACCAGTCTCTTATAGGCCGATCGGCCTACAGAAAATATATTTAAAAACTGGAATGAAAGAAACATTGTGGAATCAACGTACAACGAAAGAGGCGTACACAGAAGGAAAAAGCTATTGTGTAAAAAAACATCAAATCAGTCATTACATGAACAAGCATGTTTGGAGGAACAGAAATTCATATAAAGTTCATATAAATAGACATCGCAAAACAAATCATACAATAAAAGCAATGTACACAAATGAAGAAAGGAATTGTGGAAAGAAACATTGTATAAAAAAAATTATTAAAAAAAAATATTTAAAAAAAGGAGTTGTGTAAAAAAAAAATGGTTTGGAGAGGTCAGCCTAAATCATACACACATTATTTAATGTCAGCTTAAATGTCATGGCATTAAATTGCACATCACTTTCATGATGCATACAATCATTTTTAATGACATGACAAGGACTTTTTAAAAATAATTTTCTTCTATAAGGCAGACCTGGAGCTAAATGCTGGATTATCGTATTTGTCTCCTAGCGATATTAACAATCTTTCTTACCCAAGGATGTGGACGATTCAATCCAGGTTGATACACTAGTGTCTGTGCTCACTACCACGCTATCGGGACTATCGGGGTCAATCACCGTGCGACTGAAGGCATAGTTATATCGAATCTGTGTAGGCGCTCCAGAAAAAAAGGTGATCATATTTTCACCTGTAGAAAGCAAAAAGGAGGAAAGATATTATGAACGGCTCTGTATCAACGATATTATAGTCTGAGGGGGGGGGGGGGGTTATATGTTTACCTGCCACCGCTGGTCAATTATACATGTAGATAGATATAGATCCAAACCTTTAATGGCATGAAATTTTTGCAAATCTTAGCCACTCGCTAAATTTGCAAAAACTTCAAATGTACTAAAACTATTGACATTTTCAGTTTTACACAGGGAAAAAATACTTAAACAATTTCTGGGGCTACTGTTCAAGCTTGCTTGCATGCAAATAACACTCTTCAATTTTTTTTGCATTGAACTCTATGCAAATTTTTTTTGGCTCTTTTATGACTTTCGGGGGCTCTTTTGGGCATTTCGGGGGCTAATTCGCCTGAGCCCCTGTGTATTTTTTTCACTGGATGAGTGGTGGGTTACGTTTACAAAGAAAACCGACTTACCTTCAACTTTGATGAACGTCATTGCGTCCTGGCCTGGGCCTGATGCCGAGATTCCCACGGCATTCCAGTCTTGGTCTCCCATTAACGTACCACTCTGTGTCTGTGAGTAGCAAGAACAATTCCAATCAAGGGCCCTGATTAAATGTACTCGCTTCGTGTATATTATACAACGTACTCCTAGATCCTAATCAAAGATTGGTCATGCGCGATTTATTTACTGAGACTATCCCACGTCTTTCATGAAAAAGCGTGCTATGGTTCCCAGGACTATCCAACAATGTTTTAGTGCGCAGCTCGCGTATGAGGTTCAGGCATGCCATTACTGTCACAAAACGATCTTGAATGAATTCTTTTTAAATCAAATAACAAGTATCTAGGAGTTTTGTTGCATAAAACAAATGATGCATGTTTTCATTCGTTCATTATATGATCTATCCAACCTCATAGAAGCTGTGTGTATCTACAGATCGTATAATGAAGTCATGACCATGCATCATTTGTAAATCTGCATAAAAAAAATAATATTTGATTGTCCAAAACATGCTCTAGGTCCTATCGTATAAAGAGTAGCGATTGATCTAAATCAATCACAACTCTTCTAATCAATCGCAAGTTTGCAGTCTCCCATCTCTTATGTATACATAATATCAACTGTTTCCAAGTGATTTTGTTGGAAATTTTGAAATGCCAAGTAGATTCCTAACTTAAGCCCTGGACCCAACTTAAGACCGAACAGAATCTAACTTCGACAAAATAACTTCCACAGCAAATGTTGGCAGAGCATACATGATTGTCAAACCTATATTGAAGAGGGCCAAATATATAGTCTAGCAGTGACTTACATATCATCTGGATTTACGAACAGACAACATTTATTACTTTTAAATATGCTATAGAATGCTCTTGGATTGGAATAGGAAATTGAATTAATGATACATGCATGTGCTTTCAAAGAAGGTTAAATGGTGCCAACTACAAATAAAGTTCCTAAAATTTACCTTGAATTAGTAAGAATTGAGACATTTGAATTAAAGATGAATTAGGATGACGTAAAAAATAAACTCGTACAACTAAATCATTGTAAAACAGATTTTACGTCCGCAGACCACTGAGATGTAACTTGAGGTTCACACAATCTTATATCAGTTTCCCTGAAATGGGTCACTTCTATGAATAGTTAAAGAATGGAACCTAAAGAAATGTTTCAAATACATCATGTTTCTTGACATCATGGTATGAATTAGGATGACATAAAATATACTATTGTAAAATTCATTTACATCTGCAGACTACTAAGATACAACTTGAAGTTCAGACAATCTAAATTATCAGTTTTCCTAAATTGGGTCACTTCTATGAATAGTTAAAGTAGATATTCATTGATTTTAAAAACTAACTTTATTTTCATTATTGCAAAGTCTAAACTTTGATTCGACAAGGTTATCAAAATTCAATGCTTGAAAGCATTCGAAGCAATGATTATCATTAATTACAAAACGCTTAAATTCAGCACCGGCATAGCACCTGAAGAGCTCTCCGAACGCTGCTGAGATGTGTGAGATCACAGTATGGACATGATTTGCACAAGCAGACGATGTCCCATGACATCACACACATTTTCAGTGCCTGTGTTTTCATCTTCTCTTGAGTTCTTCCTCTTACTTCAGTACCGTCAGGCTAAATATATAATCTATTGCCTCACTCTAAACCCCGCACATGTTTTTATTTTAATGACAAATGCAGCGATACAAAAATAAAGGAATCTGTCGCTTGTAAACAAAATAAGACGCCATTGTATATTCAGCTGCACATACCCCGGTATGTTCGGCGTTTCAAGAGGGAACAAATGCCGTCCTTAATATCATTCCGGGGGGTTTTCAATTTGAAAGTCTGGTTTCTTTGATTGTTAATTAACCCCTATCCTGTGTATTTACAAGCAAAAGATTTTAGTTAACAGAATCGGGTCATATCCCCTTTTGAATGGTTTGACATGCCATTACATGTATATACACTGAACTCATTATAATTTGATAAAAAATAGCTTTGCACTCATGTTCATTCTTTATGGGATGTCGTCTGCTTGGGCAGTATTGGTCCATATAGTGACGTCATTAAACATCGTTATTTTTCCGGCGAATCTCTCTTATATATCCCAGCTGCTACGGAGGTGGTTGTATTTGTATTTTTATAAATCACCCAATATGTAGTTGACCTAAAACTTGTACGATGACCATCTGTTAGCTTACCAGTTTCTAGTGATACATTAGTTGACATATTTGTGATTTTCTTTGAATTTCACCTTTAAAGAATGGAACCTATCAAAAGAAACGATTCAAATACATCATGTTTCTTGACATCGTGGTATCACTATTGCTCTAGAACTCTCACGAACTGAGGCACCTTGTTGGGTGATGATTGATAAAACGGTACGCCTACCATGAGTTGCAAACGGAAGCTCTGAAATTGCTCTTTTATGTCAAGGTAAATGGGCTTGAACCGAGAACTGTTTTTCGGATTCATTCGACAGCCCTACGTGTCAATGCTCATCACAATCACACCATTCACACAGCATACTGATCTTGGCTGGCATTCTCATTGCCTGATGTTTGTGACAGAGCTTCTGTCACAGGACTAATGGGTCATTCACATTAGAGGAAATTTATACAAAACTTGTTTTTGGCTGGCTGGTTGGTTGAATTTACTTTAAAGAAAGCATGTGTATGCTTGTAAATAAGCAATCAGAGGATTGACAACTTTAAGTCCTCTCCAAGGGACTTGATAATGAGGATCAATGCCTTACCAAAGGGTACTAGCGCACTGATTTGGTTTCAAACCCAGATCTCATGGTTACAAGACTGATGCTCTACCACTGAGCAATCGCGCCTTCCCAAAAACTCTTGTTTTGTGATAGGGGTTCTATCACAGGACTAAGGGGCATTCACACCATGTTTCCTTCAGACTGGAGAAATTAATAAACTTACAGCTATACAATGATTTTAACTAGTCTGAATGACAGGTAGGGGTGAGTTACTACTTACCGCTGTTTGAAACATGACGCATCTGGGAGTAAGGTAGTTTGTCCCACATAGAATGCTCGTCGTCGAGTTTATCTCTTGAAGAAACGTGACGTAATTTTGGCAATAGTACTGTGGAGTGAATGAGAAAGAGAGAAAGGAGAGGGGTTTAACAGATGATGTTTACAAAAATTCCAAGTTCACGAGCTTCCTTGATCACTAACCATGCAAACTGAAAAGTCATTATTTCTTAAAATTAACTCAGGAGACAAGACGTTGACAACGTATACATGTAGCTTGTTTTGATCTGAGAATCACATACTCTCAGCTACAGTGTACATGTAATTGTATTTAAACATTCAAGAAATGATATGTAAAGTTCGATACGACAACATTGACAAAGCGGTTGCTACACCCAGTTTCATTTTGTAATTCTATTTTGATGTCATCCTTATTACTTTCTGTAATCCTTTTTTTTTTTCTTCCATCAATCTATGTCAGTACGGATATACTTGAGCATGAAATGATTCCTCACAGCAAACTACTACCGGTACATCACAAAAGAGAAATATAGAGAAAATCGAAACGCTCATATTCCAGTCCCTGTTCCAATCTTACAGTGTATCCTTACAGTATTATGGGAATGCTAGTTTTGACCTTTGACCTCGGGCAGCAATTACAAACACAACAGGAGCTTACTACCTTCTGCCTCAGAATGAAATTGCTTTCCAGTTCAATCTTATGAGGCTTCAAGGTTACACACGAAGATGCAATCTCTCGAAATGAAAACAAACATACACACACACCCAGTGCCCTGCATCATCATCATGGCATGATGCAATATTCTACATGTATCTCTCCATACACACTGAGGGGCCTTGGGCAATATTGCACAGAGTATCTTACTATCTAATGAAGATAGCAGGACTGTGTATGAATGTTGGACAGAGTCCAGTAGCACATAATTGACTTTAGGTAATTGGGAATCTCCCTATCGTACATTACAGTACACTCTTAACTGGATGGCAAGCATACAGAAAGATGAATGGGTTTATTCAATGATAACATTGTTCTAACTTTTAAGGCATTGTGCACATTGGAATACTTGTAAATTTGTATACATTATTACAATTCAATCAATTCATAAAACATACACAAGGCTGCTGGGAGATGGATTTCATATTTATTTAGGCCTACTACATGTATGTAAGGCTATTCCTGATGTGTGCAGTGTTATCGACTATGCTAAAAATTGGATTTTTCCAAATGTACCCAAAAATACAATTCATGATTTGTTGTAACGAAATCTTTCATCGCTGTCACTGACAGTTCCATGAACCTTATTCCTAATAGCTCGTTAACCAAAAAGTGCATATCACTTGAGCAGTTTATGAATTATTTCTCACGAACATAAAATTGCACAGAGTTCCTCTTTGGTCTATCTGTCACTGAGCCAATATGAATTACATTGTACGACCTTCAACTAAAACAAGAGAGTTAGCGAAACCTGATATATCAATTAATTTATACATTCCAGAAAAACAAAAGCTAAAATTGAACAGATACATTAAATTCAGCATTACATGCAGTAATTGACAAGAATCTCAAGAGATTATGCACTTTCGTGATGCTGGCAGAACTCAAGTTTGTGATGAATTCATTGCCTGTTTTATAGCTGTGCCTAGAATGAGTCACATGCATTCCCATCCCCTAATTACACTCTTAGTGAATCATATATTCTCAAAGTTATTTCCATGCTATATCATTTAAAAGTTCAGCATCCCCCCCCCCCCCCCCCCTCCCCGCCCACCCATCAACCACACTCCAACACATTCTCTTTTTGTTGAGAGAAGTAAAAAAAGATATTTAATTTAGCAACTCATTTTCAGTGTGAAAGTTCAGTTTATATTACTTTGAATTGAGCAATATATATGGCGTAAATTTGAGACAGCGAAAGTTATAGGCCTATAAATATCTTTTAATCACTATAATAGATGTTTTAGTTAGATGGTAATTCATTTTTCTGAAGAAGAATGAATCATCGGTCAAGCATGACACTGTTCATTTAAAATGCACAAGGCTGAGGATGAAAATAGGCAAGTTCAGTTTCAGTTTCAGTTTCAGTTTATTTTCATATTTCTCACATGTTGTATAGTACATCATTACATATAGCATGTTACATTTTGAACTCATTTTAGGATGCGTTTATACAAAAAAAAGAAAAAAGAATGATACATAAGACTAAGTTGAATAAGGGAAGAATAAGGGAAGAAATATGATGGAGCCTAAAGAGAAAGCAATGCTTGTAGGTCATAGGCTCCGGAAGTTACAACAATGACATAGTCTTGTGTATATTAAGAAAACGTAATTTAATTAAATTGAAACCTATTATGAAGAAAAATAAACAATATTCATACACTTAGCAATATTTGTATAACATTTTCACTACCCGTACGCAATGGCAATTCTCATAGGAGCATACCAAGATGTCGGCATCAATTGACAGGGAGTGTCGCTGGCTATGTGCTGGTAAAGTACGATGTTGTAGAAAATTTAAGTGTAGCCACGCAGGCGAACGGACTGGTTGTCAATGACGCAAGCATCTTGGTATGATGGAACAAAAATGAATAGAACATTTATTTATATGTTTTTTTTTTTTTTTTTTATACACATTTATGTAAAACTAAATATGTTAGCCCGATGACAAGCCGCCATATCCACCTGTAGTAATCACTGGAACTAAACAGCAGGAGCGCGAAGTGCATAACCCGTCGCTGCTAGGTCGAACAGACATTAACAACAAACAAAGCATGCACCTCGCTAGTTACATGTTACATGTTACATGTACATGTAATCCATAAACATGTACTGCCTCTAATTAAGATGAATCATCAATTCATCTGTTTGGAGCCAGAAGGATGTTAAATGATACAACTTAATGCCACTCGGGCTTCAAACAAACACTAACAATATGAGAATCAAGGCAATAAAAACAAAATAATAGCTTGAGCCACAAACTTCCCACCCCGTTCTCTCCAATTCAATGTACCACCCCTCCCCTAATCCTCATCAATGTACTCTCTAATCCAATTTAAAATTGATTTTAATTTGGTTTTCTTCTAATCCTCCAGCTAATGCCTTCACAAAACGATTCTTTCCAATAACATTTAGTAGTAGTCACAAGCAATGACTTAACAAGCATTAATTAGTTCGCCCTGGCCCAAGTGGAATATGCAAAAATGATTTTCATTTCCAGTACTACTATTTCAAATGAACGAATGAATGAATTATATCATTAAACTCTCTTCATTGTTTTTTCTTCTATTCTCTACAATGAGCAGGGTGAAGTTATCAATTTATTTTTCATGGTCACTACTCCTAGTAATGCATGCACCAGCTCATCTTTTAGAACTCCTTAATAACGTTCAGACACCAATGTTGATTCAGACTGCTCTCGGCGTGCTTCTCTCATGACGAATTTTCAGCCAGGCAAAATGTAAATGTACCAAGCTTAATTTTCATTGATAATCTCGGTCGCACAGAAGTCGTCACGCGGCTACGACTACCTGCATTAGCTATGCTGCAAACGGAAATTGATTCCGTGCTTACCGCCAATCGTATTAACATCATGCAATATAGATAAGGTACCTTACTCATCCATTGATAAAAGAAGTGACCTTTTCGGTCTGGAGTAAGGGAGGGAGACTTGCGAAGCATGGGTAATGCTGCGGCGAATAAATCCATAATTTAGTGTGCTATCATAGGGTGTCTGGTTAAAGTGTAGAAATGCATCGATGATGATAATAGTAGTTCAAGATCTACCTCGATAAAATTATCTTGCTGTGAATCGTTACACAAAACAATGATCATATATCTTCTGCAAGTAAGAAGGGGGATAACGCACATACTTTTTATGCCTCCGTTACGAAGTAGCCGGAGGCATTATGTTTTCGGGTTGTCCGTCCGTCCGTACGTCCGTACGTACGTACGTACGTACGTCTGTACGTACGTACGTCCCGTTCTCGTGATCGCGTTATCTGAAGAACTGGTTGATGGATTCCTGCCAAACTTTGGTCATGTATGTATCTTGTAGAGCCGATGAACTGAATAGATTTTGGGGTTACGAGGTCAAAGGTCAAAGGTCACAGGGCTCATTATGTATGCAAAACGAGCTCGTGATCGCGTTATCTGAAGAACTGGTTGATGGATTCCTGCCAAACTTTGGTCATGTATGTATCTTGTAGAGCCGATGAACTGATTAGATTTTGGGGTCACGAGGTCAAAGGTCAAAGGTCACAGGGCTCATTATGTATGCAAAACGAGCTCGTGATCGCATTATCTGAAGAACCGATTGATGGATTGCTGCCAAACTTAGGTCATGTATGTTACTTGCAAAGCCAAAAAACTGATTAGATTTTGAGGTCACGAGGTCAAAGGTCAAAGGCCACAGGGCTCATTATGTATGCAAAACGAGCTTGTGATCGCGTTATTTGAAGAACCGATTGATGGATTGCTGCCAAACTTAGGTCATGTATGTTACTTGCAGAGCCGATGAACTGATTAGATGTAGGGGTCACAAGGTCAAAGTTCAAAGATCACAGGGCACATTATGTATGCAAAAACAGCTCGTGATCGCGTTATCTCAAGAACCGATTGATGGATTCCTGCCAACTTAGGTCATGTATGTTTCTTGCAGAGCCAATGAACTGAGTAGATTCTTGGTTCATAAGGTCAAAGGTCATGGGCTCATTATGTATGCAAAAATAGCTTGTAATCACAATATTCTGAAAACCTGTTAATGGATTACAATTGAACTTGAATTTGAAAAATTTCTTCTGTTTTGGTTTGTAAAATTGCTCTATGACGGAGGCATCATTTTCGACTGCGCGCAGTCGAAGTTCCATCTAGTTTATTAGAGTGATGAATGCCTTTATGACTTTAAAAGGACACTTTACCTGCGCTAATGCTCTCATTTAGGTTGAATTAAACAATGCACCCTAGATATTAAATACATACAATTAGTGACTACGTACAATAAAATAATGAAATGTACAATAAGCCCAAATCATGTTTTTCAATCCAAAGTTCACTCTCATTAAATGAGATACAGTACAGATTCTTCCAATGTATTCTGGACTGTTAATGTGTTGTGACAAAATGACAT